CTTATTAAATTTTTTCAACAAAATACTAATTAAAATCTCTAACAAGTTTTTAATGCAAAATTCTATTAACTATTTCTACGACGTAGTTGCAAGCAAGACTGACTGACTGACTCGTATCACTGATAAGGAGTGATGACTGGTGGTGGTCGGACAAAATTCATTGTCTTTTAGCACGTAAGTAAAAACTCGATAACAAAACAATAAAGGTAAAATATAATATGAATAATTAAAGATAATAACGGTGGGTTTAATTTTTAGACGGGTTGAAATAGAGTCTAGTCGGAATAAAACGACCACTCCTTGGTCACGTCTCGGAGTTTTTAGTTCAATGATCTTCTTTGGTATTTCAAAGGAGTCTCGGGTAAAAAGTAGACTAGAAGACAAAGAAAGCCAAGAAGATGATGACGATGAAGAAGAAGAAATGCAGCGGGAGAAGAAAAGGTGGAAGAAGTTGGACTAGATGAGAATCAATTGAGAGTTGTAAGTTGTAACCTTGCGTAAGAGACAACGAGACCGTCAGCTTTGGTCGATACGGTGAGAACTCGACGGGTGAGAAGAGGAGCTCAGCTACAAGCTACAAAAAATAAAACGGGTAAAAATAAAAAGAGCAGTCGCGTGCAGCTCAGCACCAAACCGACACGCGGTTATTGGCCGTGCCGAAAATAAAGTCTCCCTCACGCCCGGACGCTCTTTATTCTTTGTTTATCCCTTACTCTTAAGGATGCCTCTGTTAATATAATTTAAGAGAGAAGAAAAGTGTGAGAAGCAGGCTAAACATTCAATGGAATTTTTTCATTTTTATCCAGAGATAAGTTTCTATTTAAGTCTAAAAATTTACTTTAAATAAATTTTATACTTTTTATGACTGATAAAAAAATTTATTAATTGCTAATAAATTTATTTATTTTTTTATTAAATATTTTGTAACTATTAATAAATATTTTATTAAAAAAATTTATTAATTATCAATTAAAAAATATTTATTTATTTATCAATCAAATTAATATTTGATGAATTTTTTTTTATTAACAACTGTTTTATTATTCATTTTATTTCTTCTATTTTTTTATTAGAAAATTATTAATGATTTTTTAATAGAATTTTAATAAATATAGCAATTAAAATAAACTGTGTTTAATAAACGATTTTTTTAACTGTTAATAAATATTTAATTAATTATTTAATGTCCAAAAATAATTTGTTCACAGTTAATAAAGTTTATTAAATATTAAAAAATTCTTCTCTCAGTTTAATAAGTGTCTAATATTATAACTTGATAAATTTTTTAAAGAATAATAGTATCTTTAATTGAATAGAAGAAGAAATATCTAAAATAAAAATTATACAAGAAGAAATGATAAGATTGTATAATCTGTCCGAACATTTCTTCATGGTGGCCAATTAAAAAAATTAATTAATTTATAAATTATTGCAATAAAATATTTAAATAAATTTATGGAAAAAAAATTCTAGGTCCAAGGAAATTATATTGAAGAATTTTATTTTGATTTTAGAAAAATTATTAAATTAATTAAAATTCACATGATAAATTTACAATTCAAAAAATTATCTTACTTAATTAAAGAAGAAAAAATTCAAAATAATTTTTTTAGATCAAGAATTTGGTAAATATTTACAAGTGGGGTCAATTAATTTTTTTGAACGAAATTTGTAATATTTAACTTTTTTTTTTTAAATTGTTTTTTTTTTTTGAAAAAAAAAATATATCAAAAAGATAAAATAGAAATTTTATCAAAAAACATTAGAGCCAAAAATTCTTCAAAATAATTTTTTTAGATCCAGTCAATAATTTGGGCTTTTACCTTAATTGTAAATAGTTTTTTTTTATAATTTTATTTTGTACAAAAATTCTTTATAAAAGTATTGGGTCTCTCTTTAAGTTATTTAAAATTATTATTTATTATTTTGCTTTTAAACCATTCATCACTAAAATTATTTAAAACTAGATCGCTTTCCAATCCACGGTCCTAGTTCCATAATTATAAGTCATGTATATACTCGTTTCAAGATTTTAGGTTAGAATATTGTTCTAGAACAAAGTGTCAGAAAAGGTATTAATTGATCAATTAAAAAAATTTTTTTTTATATTTTAATTGTAACTCATTTATTAATATAGAAAATGACAAAAAATTTTGAATTTTTAATATACTTGTTTCAAAATTTTAGGTTAGAATATTGTTCTAGAACAAAGTGTCAGAAAAGGTATAAATTGATCAATTAAAAAAAATTTTTTTTATTAATTAATTGTAACTCACTTATTGATATAGAAAACAACAAAAAAATTTTAATTATTAAGTCAGAAAATTAACTTTGTTTGAGATACTTGTTTCAAGATTTTAGGTTAGAATATTGTTTCAAAACAAATTGTCAGAAAAGGCATTAATTGATCAATTAAAAAATTTTTTTTTTATATTTTTATTGTAACTTATTTATTGATATAGAAAATGACAAAAAAATTTATCATTTTTAAGTTAGAAAAAATTGTTACGAGTATAGATGTGACCCTTAACTTTGTTTGATTTTTTAGTCTAGTATCCCCTGACCCTGCAGCGATTCGGTAGTGAATAATAAAGTGAATATAAAGTATCAGCTGAAATTAATAAGCAAGACGTGTTGACAGAATGCGACGAGTTTGTATTAATCGGGCAGATATTGATAATGATAATAAATAATAAAGTACGAGACTGGTGACAATAGAGGGTTAAGATCGCGTGGTGGTGACACGCGTCGTCAGTCAAATATTGATAGATTCTCACAGGCAGACAGTGTTAGTACTACAACTGTCTATGTCTATGTCTAAGAACATCCTGGGGGTGATAAAGTCTGTTAGAGTGTGAGAACCGTTTAAAGGAATCTAACAAGTAAAAGGATGAAGATAAAAAACGAAGAAGAAATGTGTTTAAATATAAAAAATTAATGTATTGGTGATCATGTTGGCGATAGGACGAGGAAGAGGATCTTGTCGGGATAAATGTGTGTTGGAGCGCGTGCTTCACTCGATATCGATCGACAGGGACTTTGTGAGATAAAGACTCCTCTATCAGGACAAAGGCTGTGTCGATGACGAATAAATGAATTTTACAAGAGTGTCATTGGATTTTATATTTTTTAATTTTAATTATTAATATTTATTGATTAATTGTTTATAATTTTATTTTGTAATCTATTTTATAAGTTATGAATTTTAATGCAAAAAAAAATTTTTTTCAAGGCTGGGGAGCGAACCCACGACCTTAGATTTTCTATATTGCACGCCTTAAAAAGTGGAGAAAAGATTAAAATTTGTTCTTCATAATATTTTTTTGCATTAATATTTGTTATTTATAAGTTAGAAAAGTCTGATTATGAACAATTTAACAAATATATTAGTTTTTAATATTAATATTAAAAAAAAAGTCTGATATTGTCACCACGCGTGAATCATTAAGCTTCTCGTCGCTTTCAATCTTTATCGTTTGCTAAAATAATTTCTCAGTAGTTTATTATTCATAATCATTCATTAATTATTTTTTACAATGAATTAAGGTAAAAGCCCTAATTATTGACACTAAGACAAAGTTATGATTTGATTTTTTTTAAATCAAATATCAATGTAAATTTTGTTTGTGGTAATGTCTCAAGTAATGTTTTTACTAATCAATTTCTTTTTTTAAAATGATAGTGATATTTACTAATTAATTTTAAATAATTGAATAGATTATCCGGATACACCAATTATTGACAGGTGAAAAAACTGATTAAGAATTTTTTTCTTGAATCAAGTTAATTTTTTTTTCAATAATTCTAAAGTTAGCCAGCGTTTTTAACTTTCTGATTTTTTTTTAATAATTTAATTAGAACAAAAAAATATTTTTCAAAAATTGCACTTACAGTTTTTAAAATTTTACACAAATGAATTTTTATTTTTTTATTTTATTGTAATAATTTTTTCAATAAAAAAAAAAATTTTTAATTTTCTAGATGTTGGCTAATTATGAAAATTAAGTTAGCCATCTAAGAATTTTTAGAATTTTTTTTTTATTAAAAATCATGATATCAAAGTTAGCCGACGTTCAACAATTTTTGATTTTTTTTTATCAAGTAATTTTTTAAATTTTCTACATGTGAAATTTTTTCTTTTAATAATTTTTCAGTAAAATAAATTATTAAAATTTTAAAATGTTGGCTAATTTAATTTTCATTTTTTTTCAGTGTAACTTTTGAGCCGATGCTATTTTTCGTAACTCAATAAAATGAAAAATTTTACATAAATTCCATCATGAATTTTTGCAAGTCTGATTTTAAAAGAAATTAAAAATCCAAAAAATCAATTTCAGGGATGATTTAAGGGCCCGAAAAAATCGAGTTATAAAATAACTAAAAGTATATCCTCGTGTTAGAATACTACTCTTGGACGGGCTGAGAGGGAGAGAGAATCGCCGACCGGATGACGGGTCCGGGGGTCACGGATGGGCGGCCTTAGGACTGGTTTTGGCCCTCGTAGTGAAATAACGTTCTACGGTTATCCTATTTGTCTGGTTTGAGTTGGTATGGTATCAGGCTGGTCTGGTCTGGTCTGGTCTCAGAATCTGGTCTACTATACTACACTATAATAGCAGCAGTAGTAGAAGGCACTAAAACGCTTAGCTGGGACGAAAGCGCCAACGAATTCTCGATCTATCACGGTCCTTTGACGCCTCCGGGGCTCCAACCAGTCAAAAGCGAGTTCAATGACCGGCGTCTTTCCAGACTGCTCTATACCTAGTTTCGTACTGGAACTAGGCGTTGGTCCTATCCAGTCCTATCCAGGGTCCTTTGTGCTCGACATCAACATCAACATCAGCTTCTTCACTTGCAAACTTTGCCGAGCAAAGCAACCTTATAATTCTAACCAAAACCTGCTACCGACTACACTACTATGCTATACGACTGATCAAAGCTTCATTCAATCTGGAGAGTAAAGGTTGCAATTTAAATAGTATAAATGCAGTTCAACTTACCCCGCAAAATTTGGTAGAGGAAGATCTTGATGTGCTCCGGATTGAGGTGCTGCGGGCTGACGATTATCTTGTGAAGATCACTTTGAAGCAACTCCGTTATCACATATCTGGTTTTTAATCAGTCAAAGAAAAGTCCAAAGAGCGAAATGAGGTCATCGAGTGGTTACCACGTTTTATATTTATTTAAATTGTATGAGTGTGTGTTTATATGTATCCCAATGACTTGCAGTCACTGAAGATTTAAATTTTAATATTAAAATTTAAATAGAAGTTATTTTTTTGAGGTTTGTGATTACTGATTAATATTAATGTAATTTCTTCAATATTTATTTTGTAAATTTAGTCGGAGGAAAAATTTCAAACTATACTTCATTTTTCTTAAAATATCTTATGCAAACCTTAAACTTGATCTATTTTAAGCAAATCGAGGTTTTTAAAAGAAGAAATATTAGTTATTTCTTGGTTGCTCAAATTGTAAAAGCGGGTTCAAAATCCACTCATAAAATCAATTTTTATATCTTCGTAGATAACATGCGATTTATAAAAAATTAATGACATGATCTTCAATATTTATTTTGTAAATTTAGCCGGAGTAACAATTTCAAACCATACTTCATTTTTCTTACTTGCTTCACAAAGAAAAAAATAAAATCAATTCTAACTTTATATGTTTAATTTCCAACAACAGAATCAATTAAGGAAATCCTTTCGCTCCAGTTGAGTCAAAACAATTGTAGTAGTCAATATACGATAAATTAAAATAAAAAACCCATAAAAATTCCTAAAATTAAATAATAAATAGTAAATGAGGCATTAATCGTTGAAATTTTAAAAATAAAAAAAAAAAATAGTTAAATACAAAAATTAATTTGACTCTTTCAAATCAGCTGCTAGTAACCTGTCCGTGATTTGGCAACGCTGTACTTCGGTTGTTTACATTTTCATTTGCACAATATAACCTTAAACACGTTTAAGTTTTTGCAGTCAGTGTAAATAAATAAATTAGTTTGAATTTATTGAATGGTCTGAAGCTCGCGCGCTACGCAACGTTGCCAAATATTTTGACTCCATATTAATGTCGGTTACTTGAGAATTTTTTGTGATTTTTAAATATTAATTTCTCAATAAATATCTCGGTAACTGATATATTTTATTTTATTGCAAAAAAAGAAACCTGAATATTTCGAAAATCTAATTTTTAGTTTTTTTTTACTTCATCTAATCCATGACTGATAGTATAATTTGAGAAATACTGCAAACGTCTGACTTTCTCGTAAGACTCTGAACAAATACTAACATTTAAAACTTTTATTTTTTTCAAAAATTTTCCGGTAAAGTATAATTTAAACCTCACTATTAGATAAATAAGGACTTCAACTATTACAAAAAAATTTAATTTACTCATAATCTAATATTTTTTATTTTACATTGACGGCGAAAGGATCTCCTTAACAAAATTTTCCCAATTCAATTGATTTCACTGATGATTTTTCTATTAGATATTACTAGTAAATTTTCTTAATTAGTTTCCTTAGTAGATTTTCCTATAAGAGTAAAATCTACTATATAAAATTTATTAGTGAATTTTCCTAATAAATGTTTCTTATTAATTTCCCTAGTAGTTCTTCATATAATAATTCCCTATTAATCGTAACTAGTAAATTTTTCCTAGTAGGGTTTTTTAAGGTAAAATCTACTAGATAAAACTTAATAATTTTCCAAATGAATTTCCTAGTAGTTCTTCCTATAATATTTTCCTATTAATCGTTACTAGTAAATTTTTTTAATAAACTTTCCTTATGATTTTTCTATTAAAGTTTCCTAGTAGATTTTTCTAAAAAGGTAAAATTACTAGATAAAGTTTAATAATTTTTCAAATAAATTTACCTAATGATTTATCCTAGTAGTTTTTCCTAATACATTTCCCTAATAATTTTCCTAGTAGTTTTTCCTAAATTATTTTCCTATTAATCGTTACTAGTAAATTTTTTTGATAAATTTTCCTTATGATTTTTCTACTAAAGCTTCCTAGTAGATCTTACTAGTAAATTTTCCCTAGTAGATTTTTCTAAGAAGGTAAAATCTACTAGATAAAATTTAATAATTTTTCTAATAAATTTTTTCTTGAATTTTCGTAATAAATGTTAAAAATTCCCAAAAATTCTTTTTTCATCAATTATTTCCTACTGATCTTCATCAAATTTGTCAATAACCAAAGCGTTGATTTACTTCCGACAAAAACGATGAACTTCATTAAAACCAATATAATTTTATTCAAAATGACCCATATAAGCGAACAAGTAAATAAATTAGGAGTGAATCAAAGCTGATGTGAAGAGCGGCCCACGAAACATAAAACGTGTCTACAGAATGGCGGAATGAGGTCGTGGTAGTTAGGAATGCGGGTAGCCTGAAAGAAGTAAAGGTACCACGTTGAATAGCTCACCAGCAATCTATACAGTAAAAGCAAGAGCAGAAGCACTGAACACTGAAGAAAGTGTGTCCGACAATCATCGAGCTGTAGAATACTTGAGCTGGTATCATTTTTCGGGCACCAAAACCGTAAATCATAATCTCAATCTCTAACTGGGCTTTTAAGGATCCATAATGCTAATCCTTGAGCTTCATTGCTTCTCGCTACTTCTTAGGTTTGACTCTTGCGAGTGTGTTTTCTGCGCACGAACGAACGTACCCGATGCAAAGTCAGAGGCAAAGGTAACGAGCTAGGAAGAGCATGACCGAGCTAGAAGCAATGGAAGAAAGGAAGACAAAAAGAGATCTGGTACAGGTTTAAGTACTACAAGTATAAGTATAAAATGAAGAAGAAAGAGAAGAAGGTCGAGAATCCGCAAGGCCAGTACAGGCTGGTCCGACCGGTCAACTACTTCTGTTTCTCCCTTTTACTTACAGCTCTTTCTTCTTTCTTCTTTTATTTATCCACATTATACCTCTCCTTATCGTTAACTTCTAACTTTTATTCAAGCTCCTCCAGAATTTTCGCCTGGAATGACCAAGTCTTCGTATCATCTTCACTGAAGATAGTTTTGTTGAAGTTCAGAAAACCGCGGTCGAGAAAGGAGCACCACGCGTGTACGTGAGAATCTCGAGCTTTCCCACGAGAGGCTACAGGATGGATCGATACCGCGGTGGATGTGGTTCCGACAAAATTCCTAACTCCAGACCCTGGACTACTCCGAAACTCCGAGGATGTCACTCGCTTCCGGGTATTCTGACCAAGCTTGCTCGATTGCTCATGATTTAAAGTTTTCAGAAGAGGATCATTTCGTTATTTGATTTCTGGAGTAGAAGTGCTGGATGTTGGATGCAATTTTTAGAGTTGAGCTTTCAGTGAGGCTTTTTTCGTGCAAGCTGAATTGATATTTTGCGGATTAAGTTTGAGGTGTTGATATTTTATTGGTAATTGTAATTGCTTTCACTTTTACTGTCAGAAGAAAATTATCGCTTTGAAGGTTATTGACAAGTTTGATGAAAATCTTTGGGAAATCATTGAAGAAAAAATTTTTGTGAAGAAAAATGGAAATTTTGAACATTTATTACGGAAATTTAAGAAAAAAATTTATTAGAGAAAAATCTAATAGGGAAAATTTACTAGTAAGATCTAATATGAAGCTTAAGTAGAAAAATTATAAAGAAAATTTACTAGTAAGATCTACTAGGAAGCTTTAGTAGAAAAATCATAAGGAAAATTTATCAAAAAAATTTACTAGTAACGATTAATAGGAAAATAATTTAGGAAAAACTACTAGGAAAATTATTAGGGAAATGTATTAGGAAAAACTACTAGGATAAATCATTAGGTAAATTTATTTGAAAAATTATTAAACTTTATCTAGTAATTTTAACTTTTTAGAAAAATCTACTAGGGAAAATTTAGTAGAAAAATCATAAGGAAAATTTAACAGAAAAATTTACTAGTAACGATTAATAGGGAATTATTATATGAAGAACTACTAGGGAAATCATCAGGGAAATTTATCTGGAAAATTATCAAATTCTACTAGTAGATTTTACCGTCTTAGAAAAATCTATTAGGGAAAATTTACTAGTGATATTTACTAGGAAAAACCTACTAGGAAACATTAGTAGAAAAATCATAAGGAAAATATATCAGAAAAATTCACTAGTAACAATTAATAGGGAATTATTATATGAAGAACTACTAGGAAAATTATTAGTGAAATTAATTAGGAAGATTTGTTAGGAAAATTCACTAATAAATTTTACTCTAATAGGAAAATCTACTAGGGAAACTAATTAAGAAAATTTACTAGTAATATCTAATAGAAAATCATCAGTGAAATCAATTGAATTGGGAATATTTTGTTGTTGAAAATTAAACATATAAAGTTAGAATTTTGAGAAGTAGGGAAGAAAAATGAAGTGTAGTTTGAAATTATTCCTCCAACTAAATTTAAAAAATAAATATTGAAGATCATGTCATTAATTTTGTAGAAATCACAGTAATATTAATTATTCTTACCACTTATTTTACTTATTAATCACTTTTAGAGAACGCTAGTTTCCGGACTGCGGAATTTATTAAACAAATAAATAAAAAGGATACATTTCTTGGAAGAAATCGACGTGCGGCGGCTGCAAGATATCCAGAGCTGACAGTACCTGTTTACCATTTTTTAAATAATTAATAATCGAGTTTTTAAAAAAAAAATTATTTATATTTAGTTTCAATGTTAATTCTTGTTTTTTTTTCTCAACTTTTAAGCAAGAAAAAAAAAATAATGTAATTCGAAGCTAAAAATTGTTAAACTTCCACTTCGTGGCACATAATGTCTCATATATAACAAATATATGTACTTACATTATCGTGTTCGAAGAAGCATAACATCTTGAGTTCCCGGAACACGCGTTTGCTGCTCACAAGACTTTGAAAGACATTTGGTAACTTTTTTAAAGCAACTCTTCTTCCATCACGTGGATCAGTCACAGCCCTGAAAAATAAAAAATAACAAAAATTGTTAGATAAAAGTCTTTTGCAGGTACAAAAAAAAATATCATTTTTTTTAGATAGATAGATGACGGATAATATTATATTTTAAACCCGTATGATTATAAACAATGAGCGATGAAATAACACGCGATCCTGCGGGTCACTCGTGATTTTCTTGAGGCATCTGTAGCCTCAAATCACTTGGCACGCACACTTACCACCTGCTTATTTTAATAAGTGTGTTAGTTATACTTGTATTTTTAAAAAAAGGTTGTGGTTATTATTAAGATCATTATAAAAATCTCTATTTAGTGTTTTATATTTTGTTGGCGGATCAGTGCTCTAATCTAATGGGACTTATTTTATTCAGTAAACTATTTTTTATTTTTAACCCAAACCCCTCGTAATTCTGCCGACTGAATCCGACATATATAACGGAGAGTGCCAAGTCGTAAGCCTTTTCGCGGCGTGATCAACGCTAACGAAGAAACGTTAACATTTCGGTGTACAAGTACTATACTGGTCTAGTTACGTTTTATAACGTTTATTTTAATGATTAAACTGAAAGAATTATTTTTATTCTTTCAAAATTTTAGGAAAAATTTTTTGAACATTTATTACGGAAATTGAAAGAAAAAATTTATTAGGAAAATATTTAATTTTATCTAGTAGATTTTACTTTTGTAGAAAAATCTACTAGGGAAAATTTATCAGAAAAATTTACGAGTCACGATTAATAGGAAAATAATTTAGGAAGAATTACTAGGAAAAGTATTAGGAAAAACTACTAGGAAAACTATTAGGAAAAACTACTAGGAAAACTATTAGGAAAAACTACTAGGAAAAGTATTAGGAAAAACTGCTAGGAAAAGTATTAGGGAAACTATTAGGAAAAACTGCTAGAAAAAGTATTAGGAAAAACTACTAGGAACACTACTAGGAAAAGTATTAGGAAAAACTACTAGAAAAAATTATGTTTGAAAAAATCATATTTGAAAAATTATTAAACTTTATCTAATAATTTTACATTCTTAAAAAAATCTCTTAGAAAAAAGTTACTAGTATTATCTAGTAGGAAACTTTACAAGAAAAACCAAAAGAAAAAATTTTCTAATAATGATTAATAGAATAATCCTATAGGAAAAACTACTAAGAAAATCACTAAGGAAATTTATTAGGTAAATTTATTAAATTTTATCTAGTAGATTTTACCTTCTTAGAAAATTAGAAAAATCTACTAGGGAAAATTTACTAGTAATGTTTAATAGGAAAATCTCTTAGGAATCTTTAGTAGAAATATTATCAGGAAAGTTCATCAGAAAAATTTACTAGCAACGATTAATACAGAATTATTATAGGAAGAACTACTAGGAAAATTATTAGTGAGATTAATAAAAAACACTGAATAGGAAAATTCACTAATAAATTTTATTTAATAGCTTTTACTCTAATAGGAAAATGTACTAGTAATATCTAATAGAAAAATGATCAGTGAAATCAATTAGGAACGTTAATTAGTGACATCTATTAGGAAAATTCTAGAGAAATTTCATTAACAAAATTAATTAATATCATCAAACAGAGAAATCAACTAGTAACACATTAATTAAATTAATTAGAAACATTTAGCAGGATCATCTATTAGGAAAATTTAGTTGAAAAGCCAATAGAAGGAATTCACTAGGAAAATTTATTAGTAATATTGAGTAGGGAAATTCACTATTAATATGTAATAAAAAAATCATTAAGAAAGTCAACGAAAATAGTAAATGAAAAATTCAGGAAAATTTATTAGTAGCATCAAGCAGGAAAATCTATTAGTAAAACATTAGTTACATTAATTAGAAACATTTAACAGTAACATCTATTAGGAAAATTTAGGTGGAAAATTCACTAGGAAAATTGTCAATAAAAATTTACTAGGAAAATTAAATTTTGTGAAGATTATTTTTTTGAATCAGATTAATTTTCCAAATGCTATAACCATACAAAGACTTCATTGAAATAAAAAAATAAAGAAGATCAATTTACTAGGTTAAATAAAATATATTTATAAATAAATGAAACTAATCCGACACTTGTACAAACCGATACATTAGAAGTATTTTAAAAAATATTATAAATTATTACTATACGGCATGAAAGACTTATAAAGGGCCATATGTGTGGTACGTGTGTGCGTGTGTCCAAATATCTAAGTAAGTATGTGCGCATGAGTGTGTATAGATGAAAAGCCGTAGCATGATGACACAAAGGATGCGGCATTTGGTTTTAAAGAGCACACGTATGGTACTGAGGAAGATAAAGAAAGAATATAAAAGAGAAAGATAGTGGGGCGTGCGAGATTGGTTATCCAGATCCCAGGGCTGCGCTATCCGGTTTGGCAAGTGCCTCTCTCGTATCGGTGAGAGCCAACTTAACCCGTGTTGGTGAATCATCCAGATACATTTTACACTGAACACCGTCAAGACTCTGCTCCTCTACTTCGAGATCTTTAGTGTCCAGGAGAACCTCCTCAGTAGAGCCCTGGGACCAGACCGCCATCCGGTTCGTTGAACAGGATAGATATCTAAGAGAGTGTATGCTTAGACTTTTCTACAACTTTTGCATTTTCTGTTTTCTGTTTTCGTTTTATTTAAGTAGCTAAATTTATAAATAATTGCTCTATCAATAATCCTTGTGACACCGGGAAATAGAAACTGATATTTACCCTCAAAAAAATGATTTTTGAAAAAAATGTAAGAGATATTTTTTGTAGAGAATTTTTGTACAGTTTTTAACTCAAAAATTTAAATTTTAATTAAAGACTTTTAATTAAAATTTAAACTAATATAAGGTAAAAGCCCCAATTATTGACAGGGGTCTAAATATTGACACCCTAAATTATTTTTAAATATATTTAATTATCTGTAATAAGAATAACTATCATATAAATTTTTATTAAATTCTAATTAATTAAAAAATTGAAAAAAATTACTCAGTTCAAAATATTGAATATTAATTATTAAAAAAAAATAAAAGCACTATAGATCAAACCTTACGAGCGTCTATTTTATTAACAACTTTGGTTAGAAAAGCATTTTTTTAAATGCCGAGTTTTAATTAATTTCTTCATCTAATTATATGATCTTTTTTTTTTTAATTAACAATATATGAAAAATTTATAAAATTAAATAATCGAAATTAATTGTATGCTTTATAATATTTAAATAATGGGTGTCAATAACTAGTTGATAATTTTTAAGTTGAATCTCATATTGACAGCCATTCGACAGCGCTATCACGCCTTTTTTTTTTACTTTAATCTAAAAAATTTACTGTAAGAGTTTGAACTCTTCTGATTCAATAAATTATTTTTAAATTAATTTTTATATTTTTAATAGTAATTAATCATTTATGGAAATTATTATTAATAAACTTTAATAATATTGATTACTTAATAATAAGTTTCGATAAATAAGAATAAGCAGATGATTCTAGGCATGCGCAGTATAGGTGTCAATAATTGGGGCTAAGGTATGTCAATAATTAGATCAATCAGTTTTTTTACCTGCCAATAATTGGTGTATCCGGATAATCTATTTAATTATTTAAAATTAATTAGTAAATATCACTATCATTTTAAAAAAAGAAATTGATTAGTAAAAACGTTACTTGAGACATTACCACAAACAAAATTTAACAATATTGATATTTGATTGCTTAAAAAAAATGAAATCATAACTTTGTCTCTTAGTGTCAATAACTTGGGCTTTTACTTTATGGAAAATATGGAAAAATTGATAAGAACCATTATTAACGAGGGTAAGATTATTTTTTTCCGTATTCTCAATTTTTAATCCATAATTTGGGGGTATTGTATGAGTCTTATAAAAAATCGCCAGCTTCAAAGGGCTCTCGGAAGGATTTTTTCAGAATTTTTTTTTTAATGTCATAAGTGTTTGGGGTGGCTGGTGGGGTAGTTCCGGGGCAGCTAATGCTTTGGTGATTTTTTATATTGTGTGGGGGTATTGTATGAGTCTTATAAAAAATCGCCAGCTTCAAAGGGCTCTCGGAAGGATTTTTTCAGAATTTTTTTTTTAATGTCATAAGTGTTTGGGGTGGCTGGTGGGGTAGTTCCGGGGCAGCTAATGCTTTGGTGATTTTTTATATTGTGTGGGGGTATTGTATGAGTCTTATAAAAAATCGCCAGCTTCAAAGGGCTCTCGGAAGGATTTTTTCAGAATTTTTTTTTTAATGTCATAAGTGTTTGGGGTGGCTGGTGGGGTAGTTCCGGGGCAGCTAATGCTTTGGTGATTTTTTATATTGTGTGGGGGTATTGTATGAGTCTTATAAAAAATCGCCAGCTTCAAAGGGCTCTCGGAAGGATTTTTTCAGAATTTTTTTTTTAATGTCATAAGTGTTTGGGGTGGCTGGTGGGGTAGTTCCGGGGCAGCTAATGCTTTGGTGATTTTTTATATTGTGTGGGGGTATTGTATGAGTCTTATAAAAAATCGCCAGCTTCAAAGGGCTCTCGGAAGGATTTTTTCAGAATTTTTTTTTTAATGTCATAAGTGTTTGGGGTGGCTGGTGGGGTAGTTCCGGGGCAGCTAATGCTTTGGTGATTTTTTATATTGTGTGGGGGTATTGTATGAGTCTTATAAAAAATCGCCAGCTTCAAAGGGCCCTTGGAAGGATTTTATCTTAAATTTTTTTTTCCAAGTGTAAGTTTTTGGGGTGGCTGGAGGGGTGGTTTTTGTGTTTTGAGGGGCTAATATATCATTTTTAGGGCTCACTGTCTCTATTCGAAACTGAAAAACCATTTTCAGTTTCAGGAGCAAAAAAAATTTTTTTTTGATTTTCGTTCATAAATGAACGTTCGGAACTTCAGGTACATCTTTGATATTTATCATTTGGTACCTAAAAAATGATCTTATGATACGTAAAAAGTTATAAAGTAAAGTTAGTAAATTTCTAATACAAGCAACGTCAATATTTACAAAGTAAAATGGTAAATTTTAAACGCAACGCTAAAAATCAAACTGTAATTATTGACTTGCTTGGACTGGTAAAATGTATATTTTAAAAGTATAATTTTTACTGTTTCAAATGTTAAATTCTCCCAGAGTGAGACCCCCTTTTCTTTCATCTGAGTTCCCCTTCTCATAATATAGACTGTATATTGAAACTGTAATTTTTTAAGATGAAAGAGTCGTTATTTACTATAGTGACAGCTAATACTAATCACTTATTTTGGATATTAAATTATAAATTGTGGATTTTATACTTTCTACATTAAGGGCTGTAATATTTATATTTTTGCCACCCCGATATCCGCTTTACCTGTTTGAAACTATAAAAATTAACCGGAATCTGAGTAAATATTACAGTTTATTTTTTCCGTGTATTAATAAATACTTATTAACTATTAATAAATGTACTTTCCTCCCGAATAAATATTTATTGAATATTAAAAAATATTCAATAAAATTTAATAAATTAAATAATTGTCTTCAAATAAATTAATTTATTAATAGTTAATAAATCCTTCTATCAGTGTTAAAAAATAAAATTTGTAGGTGTCTTTGTCCGCGGATTAAAATTTGTAAATTCGATTGCCCCAGATCTTTAGCATTTAAAATAAAACCCGTTCGGTGAATAAATTAGTCCGGAATTAACGGTAAATAAAACAGAGAGTGCGAAAATATTGATTTTAGTATGTATTTGTATCCGAAAAGTGACGAATGGTTTTATTTGAATCGCAGTATTTGCGGAATGTATCACGGGATGAGGAATTGGCGAATTCCAGAGGTGAAAAAATAAAAACCGAGGACGAGAGATGAGCGGTGGCACCCCCGCTGGACATAAAAATCACACGCAACAGGTCGTTACCGTGGGTTGCCCTTGAAGTGCATTCGCAAGTGCGTGCACCCGAGGGAGCTAATGCAATGTTTAATCTAACCAGCATAGTCTCTATATATTAAGACTCCCACCAAAGGTATTAATGTATAAAATACCACAAAGGCTTGTAATTAAAATAAACCTCAGGTTCATTAAAACCAACAGAATACGTTTTAAAATGTTAGATGCCGGATCAAGGATCAAGAATCGCTGGTACATGGATGTAACGAGCCACCGTCGGCGATGAAAATCTCATTTATTTATTGGCGTCAATCATCTGATTAATCGCTTCCAGCCTCTTTATTTAATACACGCTCGCAGTCTTTCTCTCTTTCTCTCTATATCTTGTTGGTCTGCTCCTTTCGTATATTATACTCGTGCCAACATTTAATGTCATTTAAAATAATTAAATCAATTTGCTGCATTCAATTATTAACTCTGATTAATTTCTGACAATATACTGACATAAGATGATATTCATTTAAATACTTCCATTTTTTAATTATTTATTAAGTTTATAGTAATAAACAGTGTCAGATCATGAATAAAAGTCATTTTTATGACTCAAATTGTTAAATTAAAAGATATTCATACTTAAGACGGCTGAATTATTTTTGATTCTTGATAAGATGTCTTAATTTGGAAATATCTTGAAAAGTATTCAAGATACAGAAAAATTTGTGAAAAATTTCGTTCTTGTAGAAAATTTTAATAAGAACTACAAAAAACCTTTTTGCAGTTTTTGATATTTTACTTATTTATTTAAATTTATCATGGAGCTTTTGCTCCCTGTGACCATACATAAAAAATTACAGTATTTTGACGGAAAAAAGAAAACTTGAAAAATTACATTATAAATAGTAAAAAGTATCCCGTCGTATTAAAAATTAGAAAAATTACAGTTCGAAATAATATTTTTCTAAATTCAAATTTTGAATGTTAATTTTCAGAGCTTTGAATACAATATTTACATTTTACAATGTAATTCTTACAAAATATGTAATAATTACAATCTGAAACTGTAATTTTTTCTCAGTTTTCATCACGGAGCGCCACATTACATTATATAATGTAATTTTCCTATTTCCCGTGTTATAATGTTATTAAAATAATATACATAACTCTTAATTCTATTGAAAACTAATAATTATGAGAGTAATAATGATAATTATAATTATAATTAAAATAATATAAGCAAAGTTAAGTAATATAACAGAAGTAAAAATATAATAGTAATAGTAGCAATTCTACACAAAATGAACAAGATGACACTGAATATCATCCAGTGAAAAAAAATTTTAGCTAGTAACTAGTATAATCCAGATTACAATAAGTAAAATCGAGATATCACACACAGTATAATTTGGATTTTTTAGCTACAATCTGAATTTTTTTTCACCACAGATATCATTGAGTATAATCTGGGATGATATCCAGTGTTATCTTATTTTGTCCGTGTATAGACATTATTTCGCAATCTATTATAATTTACTTAGATATCTGCTGTCAAAGTGCAAAATATACTTTTCAAAACTTAAAATTCTATCCCAATTTTTTAAAGTCGGCACTTATTTTTGAAATATATCGAGAAATATGCAAGATACAGAGAAATTTGCAAAAACCTTTCTTGTAGAGAATTTTAAGAGCTACAAGAAAGTTTTTTTTGCATTTTTCAATATTTTTGATATGTACTTAAATATCTGCTGTCAAAATGCAAAACACACTTTTCAAAACTTAAAATTCTATCCCAACTTTTTAAAGTATACACTTATTTATGAAACATATCGAAAAATATGCAAGTTACGGAGAGATTATTACAATCTTTTTTGTAGTGAATTTCAAGAGCTGTTGTATTAATAATTCAATAATAAAATGTTTAATTTATGGACTTTTAGGTCCTGGCTAATGAAAATAAGAAAAGAAATTAATTATAAATGTAACTCTGCACACTTAGTTAATTTATGTTAACACATGTAAATTAATACGAATTAAAATTTAAAGGTTTTAGTTTATATAGATTCATATTATGACTTATGTTTTTCCCTCTGTCAAAATCCTCAACTTTGTAAAAATTAAGAAACCCTGTTATTGGCCCTTTGGGTTGTTGGGTTAAAATAAATAAATAAAAGAGCTACAAAAAAAAAAGCTTTCCTTGCATTTTTCGATAGTTTTAATTAAGATTTCCACTTAAAAAAGTTCCTTTTTAACCAATTGAATGAAGTCAAGAACAATTTTTATCAAAAATTCCTTTTCTAACTACTCAATTGAAACCCTCAAAGTTCTTCAAATCGCCTGAAAGTTTAATTTCACTTCGATTTCCATTTGTTTCCAACTGCAGTTAGAAAATAGTTCTGAAATTGACGCTAGTTTCAAGCTTAGCTTCCACCAATGTTAGGCTCACTTTCTTTACAACGCTTCTAACATGTTTAGTTCCAATTTCGAAAATAAAACTGACACCACTCTGAAGTTTGTTTACTTTGAAGTAAACTTCACTTGCAAGCTCATAGTTTTACTAAAAGTCTAATTTAAATTCAAAGTATCAAATTGTTCAACACATTTTCTTATCTTCCAAAGATATGATCAAAATTACTCTAATTGGCATTGAAATTGCTTTCTTTCTTTCTTTCTGCCATAATTCTTAACAATTCATAATTTCTTCTTTGCAAAAAACGCTTCATCTTATTTTAAGAAAGTTATCATACTTTTCTTTACTTAAAGAAGAGAATCCATACACGGAAAAGAAAATGCGGTAAATCCAACTACACTTGGAGTAGCATTTACCACAGGATGGACTAAAGTATATATACGCTATAGTGTGTTTACGGATGATTTTCATGTGTTTCTTTGACAACTCCAAGTGTGGTTGGATTTACCGCACGTTTTTTTCCGTGTAATAATCTTCTGAAAATGAAACCCAAGTCCCCAGACAGTATCTGGATCAGTGTCGAAGTAAATTTTGGGCGGCATCCCCGCCACTAAATTTTCCATGTTTTAACGATCGCACCAGCACGCAAAGTCGCTGCTTCTCGTGCCAGCAATCGATAGAGTACAGAACAATAAGAATAAATTTGTACCTCCGTCCTAAAGATGTCCTAAAGTTTGACTTTGAACAAATAAGAACAAAGGAATGCATCAATAATTAAGATCCTAACTGCAACAGGTGCAAGCCAATTACAAATGCAAAATTCAGTACGGAAAAGTTCTTAAAATTTTCATTAGATCAACCAATTGAAGTGACAATTCCAAGGGTATCAAAGAACCACACGGACATTGTGCATTGTATGTTCATATATTGTGCAGTATGAGTGTACTGACCATTTGCAATTGGTACGTTCCCGTTACGCTGCGATTATGCCGGGTTGCGTATCACCCTCGTCCTCGTGTCACGGTGCCGGTGGAAAGGAAAGGGCGCGTGACGAGGAGAGAGAAATGAGAAGGGGAGCTGGCCAACCTCTGGGTCTATATCGGCTGTATAGTATATACACTATCCCCAAGCCATGGGATATGGATCGATACTATACTAGTCTCTTTCTTCGTCTCTCTGCTAGATTGCTTTGTTTCTAGTTTACTTTTTTTGATATACCACCGGTAATTAGTTGACAAATAAACTAATAATTCAGTAACCAGCTGTTTTAAGAATTCAATCCTTTGCATACTGAAAAATATATTGAGTGGACAACGGTTTTCCAGGTAGACTTCTTTAGAAAGCCTGAAAGCATGTTGCAGAAGTAATGTTGGAATTTACATAAAATTTTGCTGTTTTTTAATTTGTTGAGTTGGATTGAAAAATAGCAGCAGCTCAAAAGCTTATGTATGTGTGTATGATGGAACCCGCTTCGTTAGGATAATTATGTCCGCAATTCTTGAAGGGTCTTGATGAAACTCAATACATTTATGAACGAAAATTTTGGTCAGGTTATAA